GGCGGTCCTACAGGTCGCAGGTTCAAATCTACGGGTTGACACTGGTACTGTACACAGGTAAGACGGGGAACTAGGGATCCAGCCCTGGGATCTGCATTCGCTACTGCGATCTGGTGAATACCGTTTCATTGTAGCCAGACGGTTGGAAAAAGCATAAAAACCAAGAACCGTCATTGCTGCTAATCTCCTCCTTCCTACATATACCATTCTGCCCCTATAGGGGTAGACCCATGCCTACCCTTGCCTCATCACCACCTCTGTAGTCTTGCGTGACATTCCTGGTCTTCCACCAATCTGCCACCGAGCTCTCTCCTCGCATTACATCCTTCGGGCAGTCTGCCCTCCACGATCCCACACTGCCCTGCTCTACTCACGCTATGGTCTGATAGTCCCCAGCTTTACAACACTGCTGCCCAGAGTTGTTCTTTTTCCAAGCTGAAATTTGCACCCCACCCCACACTCCTCCCCCTTATGGCATGGAGGCCCTGAAGACGGCATTGATTACTTCCTTGGAGAAGCATGTACTGATCTTCACCACTGCCTAAGTTTGCCTGTTCGAAACTGTTCTTGACCTTGGTGACTATAACTGTTTGCTGTTTGAATTTGCGGGAAGAATTATGTCTCTTTTCCGTCCGTATCTCCCTGTGGAATTAGCCTGTGAGATGTCTATGCTTTTCTAAGACAGTAGATGACGAGTGTCCGTTTTCTCTACCTCCGGATTCCCTGTGTGCAGTTTTGATTGAGGATGTCTTCTAAGGCTAAGACCCTAAACCCTAGTTTTTAACTCTTTGACACTCTCTCAGGGGTTGTTCCTTGAATGTATCCCCTGTTGACAGGTGTTCTACTCGAAGTCTGGGGTAGACTCTATTTAGAATTGGTGGGATAGGAAGGGGGCTGACGGCCATAATTTTTTTTTGATAGGTGCTGATAATGGGATGGATGTTAGATATGCGAGGGGGTAGGGAAAGAGGGGTGTGCGGGTTGATTTGTGACTATATGGCTGTTTTTTGGGTATGGAGGGGGGGTGATTGTAGGAACTGAGTGGAAGGGAGGGGGCTGGGAGATTGCTGCTATGACGATGGTTGGGCATTATGAGGCTGGTACGATATCAGTGATGGTTGTGATGTATGTGGTGGTGGCTGGTCGGGGATTGTTACTATGCTTATCCAGTTTTTGAGGGTGAGTCTGTCATAATTTATTGTGCCCAGTTGCCCTTTTCCTTCCTTTTTTTTTAAAAAAAAAACAGGTCCTTATGGTCCTGGCTCCATATCATTCTGGGGAGCGTCAGTCCGGTTCCTATTCCCCCGGCAAGTCAAAAGAATACATCGTTTTACTCACACAACGCTTCCTTCCGTCTGGCCGAAGGAACCCTGACCAGCATTGATTACTCCTAAGGAGGATTGACTGTCAGCTTGCCCTGATCACTTGTTCCTCTCAGGCTCCTTTCAGAGTCTGTCGGATGAGTCCCTGCAATACGAGAACAGTGGGGGGTTCCGCTCAGTAATCTGTTGCTTGTCCTTGTCCTTCATTGAGTGTCCGGTTTGCCTTGTTGTTGACCCCTCTTCCGGGCCTTCTTTGACCTTCTGCCAGGGCGTCCGGCGGGGGGCCTTATAGGCTTCATAACTGTGTCTGGTACGATTTCTTCCACCTCAACCTGTTGTCAACTATCGTCGCCACCTTGCCTCTTAGCAGCCAGTTCCTCATGAAGGTCTGTTTCTTGGTTGCTCGTCTTTCTGGTCTGTGTCTTATAGAGTTGACTATTCTCCGCCATCTGCTTCTGATTTCCGTCCCTGCCATGATCAGCAGTAGTGACCACATTTCTTCCCTGGCCACCTCTGCACCCTCGATTGTCTGAGTACACCTTCGTTTCCATATTACCCACAGTGCCAGCTTCCTGAGCAAGGTAAGCCAAACTTCCCTGCTGCCTGTGATGTTGCTAGGGATGTTAGTTAGGATTTGGATAAAGAGGGGGGAAATGTCAGGGGGCGGGGCAGCAACCAGGATCGACCATAGCTCGCGGACCTTCTTCCATACCCATGTAGCTTCTGGGCAGAACATGAGGCAGTGTGGGATGTCTTCTGGAGAATTGTTGCCGCACATTGAGCAGTATTCCGAACTATCAGGGTCTGAATGTTTCCTTCTAGTGTGTAGCCACTGGTTGACGGGAAGGGCTGCATGTGCTATTAGCCATTGCAGGCTACGGATTCTGATAGGTCTGATGAGAAGGTATTTGGGCAAGGGGATGGTGATGGGCATCGTGTCGCCTAAGTTCAATGTGTTTCTCCATTTCTCTGTCAGCCTTGGATTTGGGTCCCTGGTTTGTAGTCCGAGGTTATATCCGAACTTTACGTCATATTTTGTTATCGTCCTCGATTTCCCGGTGGCGCCCAGTTCCCATGTCCATTCCTTTGGGTCGAACTCCAGCTCCTCAATGCTGAGTTCCGGCTGAAAGATGATCCAGGGTTTCCTATGAGAGACCCTAACCTTCCTGAGAAGGTAGGTTTCTATTTGTTCGTTCTGTGGTGTTCTGTTCATGATCTCTAGTTCGTAAATGCTGTGTTTGATGATGGGGTAGGATATGAACTTGGCCTGGCAGTTAGTGGGGTCCGGTTTGGACACAAAGCGGTAGGCTCTTATTGGTGGGGTCTGTGTGATGAGCAGTCCCCAGTCTCCTGGTTTCCACGTGTGTGATTCTTTGAGGAGGGTCGTCCATGGGGGGAAATGCTTTGAAGGATTTCTGATAGGTTGGTGGTCAGTAGGTGGCATCCTTTTAAGGATGTGCGGAGGTCCTGTACGGTTAGCCATTCTTGTCGATCCTCAAACACAGATGTTTAACCTTCCATACACCTCTTTCCACCCAAGACAACCATCTGCGGTCTTTGGCCTGAAGAGCCCATGGGCTGCCCTCTGTGTCTTTAATTCAGGGATTGCAGAACAGGGACTGTCTAAGGACTTCCCCTTTGTTGCTCGGGGACCCTTTCTTTTCTGGCATCAGTCGGCGCCAGGCCTTCAGGATCGGTAGTCAGTATGGGATGGGCGTAGTGATGGGCTGGTTAGGGGTGCCGGGAATGGTATTCCTAGCAAATATTCCGGATTTGATTGTCCATTCCTTTACCATGATCCAGAACAGGCCCCTCATGTTTGGAGGGGATGCTACGGGTGTCACGTTTCTTATGTTGTCTAACGCCATTTTGGTCCACGGGAGGGCTTGTTTGGTAAGGATTTTGATTATTCATTTCATTTGGAGGGCGATCGCTTCCTGTTTGGGGTCGATAATACCTAGCCCCCCTTCGTGTGGTTTTCTGGTGACAATTTGTCAGGCCACCTTGTTAATGCAGGTGGTTCTGCCAGGGTCGCCAGTCCACAGGTAACACCTGGCTCTAGCCTTCAGCTTCTTCAGGTCGTCATCAAGAGGGGACCAAATGGAGGCCATGTACCATAGCGTGGAGAAAATTGTTGTGTTGATGATCATGGCTCTCCCTATCAGGGAGGCCTGGGCTTTGTTGCAGGTGATTAGACGAGTTATTATTCTGGCGATTAGAGTATCTCCCATGCCTCGTCCGATGTCGTCTCTGTTTACCATAATGTCCAAGTATCGGAGAGCTTGGTCGCCTGTGGTCCATGACATTGGGGTGGATGGGTCGTGAGGTTGGGGGGGGGTGCCGTCCGCAAGCCACCACCTTTCTGTTTTGGACCAGTTTACCTTCATTTTTGAGGCGAGTCTGAAGGCTTCCATTGAGCGGGCCAAGGCTTGGGGTTTAGGGTTTAGGGTTTAGGGTTTACGGATGAGGACTGTGAGATCATATGTGAACGTTTGTGCGGTGGGGAACGAAATCATGGAGGGGGTTGTGGTTTTGTTCGGCCAGGCGGTGAATGGATGGATCCTTATGGAGGAAGGATGCAATGGCTTCCATTATGAACAGGAATATTGGGGGTGTGAGGGGGTCGCCTTGACGGACCGATCTCGATATCGGATAGGTTTCTGATAGTATCTTGTTTATCCGCACCTTGCCCGTGGCATCCTCATAGAGTACTTTTACCCACTCTCTGAAGTTTGAGCCCTCTAAAATTTGGAGGGCGATCGCTTCCCATCTTCTCCATACAATTGTGCAGGAAGTCCCAATTAACTTGATCGTAGGCCTTTTCGAAATCGAAGAACAGGATCTCCGCTTGCATCCGTTTTTCTGTGATCTTCTTTGCAGCCTCGAATCCTGCTTGGTCGATGTGAAAGCATTTGTCTGTTAGTTTTATGATTCTATTTGGTAATGCCTTTGCTAGGATTTTGTATGGCGTTGTGAGAAGTGAGATTGGTCTATAGTTCCTGAGTTCCTCCTTGTCGCCCTTCTTATATAACAGTGAGACTACGCTGGTGCTTAGGAATTGACCCAGGCCTGTTTTTTCCCTGCTGTCATTAATGAAATTCAGGAGGTCAACTCCCAGTGTGGGCCAGAAATGGATCCAGAATTCTTTGGATAGACCATCGATTCTTGGAGCTTTGTCATTTCCCATCTCGGACAGGGCTGTTTGCAATTCCCCTAGGGAGATTGGTTTTTCCAGGTCCTCCGTTTGTTGCTGGGTGATTGTTCTCTCTAGGAAGATCATCATGCATTGACGGGCATTGATGTTTGCTGACTGGGGGGGGGAGGTGGTTTTGGACTCATACAAGTCGGCGTAGAAGGATCTGGTTATTCTTACCATGTCACTTTGTCTTCCCTTGGTCTGCTGGGTCCTTAAGTCTCTCGATCGTGTTATTTCTTCCATTGGCCTTAATTTTGGAGAAGAAGAATTTGAACATAGATTCGTTCAAGGTGTAGTAGTTCATCCGGGCCCGAATTTGTAGGCCCCTGAGTTCCCATCTTCTCCATTCATTTAATTTGTCCTTAGTAGATTGTAGTAGGTCGTGATAGATGGAGTTGGAAGGGTCTGATGCGAGGTTGGTTTCCGCGATGTCGAGAGCAATTCGCAATTCTTTCTTCCTGATTTTGCGTTCTGCTGCTCTGCTTCTAGACTCTGCAGAGACCGTCTGAGATAGGTCCATATAGCTGTCTATGAACCACTTGTGCCTGTTTTGGCGTTTCATCTCGTCTTGTCGTAAGAAAACCCGGTTCCATCTAACTGCCTCTATCATGCGATCTGTAGAGAGAAAAGAGTTGTTGAGTCTGAAAAAAACTTGCCCTTTTTCTACTGGAGAGTTGAAGTTGAGGAGCTGGTAGGTCGGTTTGTGATTAAGCGCCTTGAAGGCTGTTGTTGGTAGGATATTGTCCTCCTTGATTGCTCCCTGTAACATGTCGGAGATTAGGAAGAAGTCAATCCGTGACAGTGATGTGTGGTTAGATCAGTTCCTTTTGACTAGGGAGAAGGCTTTTTTGCGTGGGTGGAGATGGGTCTACCAGATCGAATTTCGTCATGATGTTTCCCGGGTGTGTGCTCGCTCGTGTGGGTCCCAACAGCGTTGCCCGAGAGATGCGGTCCATGCTGGGATCCATCGTGGTGTTCCAGTCGCCTGCAATGATTAGCGGTAGGGGGTTCGGGAAGAGTGATTTGATGTGGTCAAAGAAAACTATGCATTCGGTTTCCGTGTTGGGGGCGTATATGTTCAGGATCCTAATCTCTTCCTCTTGCCATGTGATTTGGACCCATGACCACCTTCCCTCCGCCGTGTCCCCTTCACCATAGCTTACCTATCCTTCCGACCATATTTTGGATGAAGTTGGTATAAGGATCGTTGTTCCGTGGTTGCTTTGGTCTGCTTTGTTGGACCACAATGTGAAAGGGCATCCACCCAGGTTTTTTTCCACGGTCTTCTTGATTCTTGTGTGGTTGGTGAGGTTTGATAGATGCATCTCTTGTAGAAGGATGACATCGGGTTTGGCCTTTCTTTTGTCTGTGAGGCCGAGTCTGATGTCTCGTAGTTTGTCCTCTTCCTCGAGAATGTTGCCCAAGCCGTTGACATTCCAACTATGGATCGTCAATCCTTTGGCTTGCCAGTCTACTCTCACTGGACCAGGCTGATCCTCATTGTAGTTCATTTGGATTCGTCTGGCGGGGTGTTGTGCTCATATTTTTTTTTATTTATTTATTTATTTATTTATTTATTTATTTATTTATTTATTTATTTATTTATTTGTTTGTTTATTTATTTATTTATTTATGCTCGGTTGGGGTGGGCGTTCGTTGGGCGAGGTTGCTAGTTGGAGGTTCGATCTATTTAGTCCACAACGGCAGAGGTTTTGGGGTTATCCAGTCCAGAGTCCTCGTTGTTCTCGCTGCCCTCGCTGATCTCTTTCCCCAACATGGAGCTCAGGTTGTATGCCCCCACGCTACCTTCGGGCAGCAACATGGCTCCAGTCCCTGCTCCTTCCGGGGAAATCCCGTCAGCCACCCCGTAGTCTTCATCGTCGGCCATACTTCCCTCGTCGTCGTCGGGCTCCACGTAGAGCGCCCTGGCTTCATCTTGCAGGGAGTGCTCTGTGGTGAGAATGTGGGATCTGATGATGGAGGCCAAGGAGACCGCCATGACCTCTGTCGGGCACATCTTTCCTACAAGAGTGTTGTACGACAGCGTTGTCACAGTGTCCCACGCTCTCCATATGAGTCCATCGTGTAATATGGCTTTCTCATCCAATTTCACTATGATTGGCTCGAAGGACTTGGTTGTGTCAGGGGCCTGGCCTGTTTCGTCTTCATTATCAGCATGGGCCGCTGAGACTTCATAAACGTCCGCAGGGAAGTCATCTGAGATCCCTTCTTTGATCGTTCTGGCCAGGGACCGCTGGTCTCCCAACGTCGGGATAGTGAACGAAACATCGGTGGCTACCTGCCACTCGCCGGATTTCCTTCTGTACTGGACGGGGACCAGAGGTCTGACGACTTTGATTGTTTTGCAGTCCGATGCTGCTTTCTTAGTGACATGGGGAGCCCTATTCTTCGTGACGTTTCGGATTGTGCAGTACTCTTTGCTGTGTTTCTGGCGGTACTCCTCATTCTGATCGAACAGGCACTTTGTCTGAGCAGCGACAATGGCTATCTCCCGTTTGATGGATCGCTGCTCACTGCCTTTATCCGAGGTGTCAGCTTCAGATTTCCTGGGCCTCTTGTCTCTGCCCTTCGAAGGCTTCCATTTTTTTGGCACCATGTCTTTGATTAGGTCCTTGTGGGACTGTGTGTCGGCGCTAGATTCCGTTTTAGAACCCAAGGCTTCTCTTTCCCTCTTCTTCTCATGGTAGCGTAAAGCACTGAACTCCGATAGCTCGCTCTGTTGTCTCAGGATGTCGTATTGATTCTTCGAAGTGTGGATCCTTGCTACCATAGTCTTGTTGTTTCTGCCTGTCTTCTCTTGGTGTGTCATGCATGCCACGAGGATGTCGAATTCTTTTTCTCTCTCGTTTTTGGCTCTTTCGAGATATTCTTGCAGCCACGAGGTAGGAGAGTCTCCCTTTCCTTTTGAGTTCTCCGCCTTCTTTTTTTTGGTGGGAGATATGTCCATTCCTTGCTGGGTTAGATCCTGGTCTAAATGATCCGGGGGGTTCTGGTTCTCAGAGGGTTTGCTACCCTCAGCAAAAGTACTGCCCTTCCTTTTTTTATTTCTGTTGGGTTCGTCGTCGTTGGTCTTTTGGGGTGAGGCCTGTCTCTTGAGGGAGGGATCAGCCTGCGGGCTTCGTCCCTCAATGATCTATTTGGCTGAGTCCAGGATGTTGCCGTTGTCCTCTGGATTGGAGAGAGAGGCAGTTGTTTGCTGTATGATCGACTCCAGATCCCACATTAAGTCCTCATGCTTCTTTTCTTCCTTGATCACCCGGGAGTCGATCATCGGGTCCGAGTGGATTTTCCCTGGGATTCCGGTGATCTTCTTGCCCCCACATGGTGCCATTCGTTGTCTGAAGGAGGGAAAGTATAGGTCCAGACCCATTTGGGATCTGGGATGTTATCGTCGAAGACCCAGCCGTGGTAGTCTGAGTCGTTGACAAACCAGATTCCTTTAGCTTCTTCCACCTCTACTAACATGTTCTGCCTTAATTTTTTTTGTTCAGTAGAGCGCGGGCATTTGGGATCCGTTCTCAGATGGCCCCTGGCTTTGCATCTAAAACAGATTAGGGACGCTTTGGTTGAGACTGTTACTGTCGTGACTTTGTCTCCAATGAGACATTGCCACTCTTCTGGGAAGATCGGCGCGTCATCGGTGAGTACCTCCAAGATAGTTGTGACTGAGTCGCAATGGGGAGCCAAGAAATCGGGCGTGGGAAGGACCCACTTCAATATCTTGTTGACCGGATATTCCACTTTTAGGCGGTCTTTGATGAGGGGGTGTCCTCTAGTGGGGATGTTGTCGAATTGTACCCAGAACTGTTCCCTCATCAATCGCTGCTTGTAGGAGGCAGCTGTCGAGATTTCGGCTCGCGGTGCTGTTTCGGCTTTTCATCGTGACAGGGTGCAGACAGAGCCGTGACAATTCAAAGTCTCGCATTTTCCCAGCAAGTGTGTGGCTTGAGTGGCATCTTTGAACACCACCATCATCATGGTTCTGCCCAAGCCGAGCAGGGAGAACTTGTCGGCATCAGTTTTTATGTTCTCCTGCTCCAGAATGGTTTTCACTATCCACTTCCTCTTTTCAACGGGTGAGAGTCTTGCTCCGACGTTGGAGAAGGGAAAAATGAGCGCATGCTTCTCGTAGGTCGCGTTCGTGTCGACTATCTTGTCTTTCGGATATGCCCACGTTGTTACTTCTTCATCATTATTGACGTTCCTGACTTTGATGGTGACTTTCTCTCCTTTGATTTGCGGGGCTTCCAAGAGGAAGTGCAGCTTCTCGTGGTCCACATTGGAGGCAATATAGGAGGTCAGCTTTGAGGTGGCTGTTTTAGTTGCAGCTACCACGCTAAAACGGCGCTGGTAGGTTTGAGCCATGTCTTTAACTGCAAAGTTCGACCTGCGTGAATCGGTTATACTTTCCTGGTTTCGGGTTGAGTGATCATTGATGGACTCTATGCCTCGTTTCAGGTGCTGGTTGGGAGGCACTGGCCAGTGTTGAAATTGTTGTCGAGAGTTTTTTTTTTTTTTCCGATCGATTACGTGACGACGTGTGTGCTTGGTGAATCGATGTTGGACAGGAGGGAAGGGAGGGGACGGTCGAGCTGGTACAAGCAGGGGGGGGAGAGAGGCTGGTTCAACGGTTTTTTTTTTCTTTTTTCTTTTTTTTTTTCCTTATTTTCTTTGGCTTCTGGCAGTGGGTTGTGATTGGTGGGGGGGGGAGGAGAGTGTGCTATGCTCCCCTTTCTGCGGGGTGTGTTTAAGGTGGGGCATAGTAACGTGGGGGTTATATTTTCTTTTTTGTTTAAGATTGATGTGTAGCACTATAACAATCTTGATTCAGTGGTTTGGTAGTGTGATGTTTTCCAGCATAGGCAGGGTTTCCAA